GAACGCCAGGCAGTGGTTGGAGAAGCTGGTGGCCTTTGACACCACCAGCCGCAACTCGAACCTCGAGCTCATCCACTACTGCAGGAACTACCTGGAGGGGCTCGGCGTCAAGTGCACGCTTGTGCACAACCGCGAGAGGACGAAAGCGAGCCTGTGGGCGACGCTGCCGGGCGACGGCGGCGTGACCGACGGCGGCATCATTTTCTCCGGCCACACCGACGTGGTGCCGGTGGACGGGCAGAAGTGGGACAGCGACCCGTTCACGCTGACGGAGAGGGACGGGAAGTTGTACGGGCGCGGGACTTGCGACATGAAGGGCTTCGTCGCCGTCTGCATGTCGCTCACCCCCGAGCTGCTGAAGATGAAGCGGGCGAAGCCGATCCACTTTGCGTGGACGTACGATGAGGAGCTCGGCTGTCTCGGCGGCGAGGTGCTGACAAAATTCCTGCGGGACCACAACATCAAGGCGGACGGCTGCATCGTTGGTGAGCCAACCTCCAACCAATTGGTCGTGGCGCACAAAGGAATTCGTGCATATCATGTTACGGTGCACGGCAAGGCGGCGCACTCGTCGTTTGCTCTGACAAAGGAGTGCTGCAACGCCGTCAATTACGCCGCGAAGCTTATTGTGAAGATAAATGAGATCGCAGAGGAAGTTAAGTTTCGTGGGCCGCAAGATACTTTCTTTGATGTCCCTTTTTCGACGATGTCGACAAATTTGGTTCAAGGCGGTAACGCCCTGAATACGGTTCCTTCGAAGTGTGAATTTCATTATGAAATGAGGTATTTACCAGCAGAAGAAGCCGATAAGATTGAGGGAAGGGTAAAGGCGTATATAAACAACACACTTGTTCCGGCCATGAAGAAGGAGTTTAAGGATGCCCGGATTGAATTTGTGCGCCGATCCAACGCTCCCCCCTTTAAAGATGTCGATGAAAAGGATCCATATGTTGTGTTGCTGCGGCGCCTTACGAGGGACTCGGCGACGCGCAAGGCGGCCTATGCCACTGAGGCGGGCCACTATCAGGCTATAGGTGTGCCGCTGGTACTTGTATGTGGGCCTGGCTCCATCTTGCAGGCACATAAGGCAAATGAGTTCGTCACCTTGGAGCAGTTGGAAGAATGCGTCAGGATCGTCCGTGCGGTTGCCCGCAGCGACGGAGGTATGGCTTCTCCACATCTGTAGCAATGGCCGCAGGAATAGGTGAGTCTGTGTAGCACGGTTTTTTGTTTCGTTTTGGCTGCACGGTATTGCGAGCGAATGAAAAATGAAAACGGAGGGGGAAACGTTTTATTTATTTATTTATTTTACTTTACTTTACTTAAGAAAGGGGGGCTTAACATGTAAGTATTGATTATTGTTGTGGTTTGTGCTAACGGAGGTGCAGGGCGCTCTACAATTGAGGGGGTTTCTGTGGGGAAAATGCCACGTATGACAATGCATGTGGGGATTGAATTATTTTGCATAGTTATGGGCTTGCCAGGCAGCAAGCTAAACACACATAACTAATGGTTTGGGGGACGCAGGTTTTCCCTCCACAGTTTGCTTTCAAGAGGCGATGGCGGTGTCTGTGGTGCAGCACAAACTGAAAAGCCGCTTCAAGGCGAGCAAGGCAGTGGAACGCCTCATGATCCTTTTCGATTGCCTTTGCGGCCGGAACCCAATGAGTCTGGGTGCTACCACTGCGTCACAAAGCGCTGTTTTTGCGTTGTTCTTGATCGCTCCTTGAACGATGTGTACACTAACTTGAGCTGTAAGCGCATTACAGAAGTTGCGGGTTCGCGTCATCTGTGCGCAAAATCGCTTCTTCCAACCTTTGTCTCCCGAATGGTACGACTGATGAAAATAACTTCTGAGGATACTTTTTATGACCTCGGGTGCGGCAACGGATCCGTTCTATTTCAAGTGGCTTTCCTCACAGGTGCGCGGTGCGTGGGGGTCGAGATCAGTGAGCACAACGCCAGTGTCGCAAAAGCTGCATGGGGGAGCATTAAGCCAAAATTAGAGTCTGTATCTGGAAGAAAGATGCCCGAGGTGAAGGTACTAGCTGCAGACATGACGAAGGTACTTGCCGAGGAGACGATGTTCAATGAAGAAGAGGGCAAAACGGCGATACTACTATCAAATCTACTGTTTCCAAAATCATTGACGCACTACCTTTCAGAGCGACTTCGACACGTTCCAAGTGGGACGCGAATTCTGTGCTTCGATGATCTCTATCCACATAGCCGTTCCGTCGCCGCGATTCGTGATCCAGAAGCCTTTGAATTTTTTTCCATGACGGATTACCTCTGGCAGGAGCTTAGTGTGGAGTGGTGCTCAATGGATGGGCCCTTTTACATTCATAGACGGAATTAAAGACCAGGTGAACGCGAGCTGGACGGAGGGAGCGTGCTTTATTTTGTTCCCTTCTTGTGTGTGTGTGTGCGTCGACATTGTACAGCATTGTATCCCCGAAGCTTATGTGTGTGGCGGGTCCATTGCTGTGGCCCAAGCAGCGTCTAATGCTGTTGTTCTGATGTTATGTATTGTTACATATGTTTATTTGCACATACATATCTAGGCCTTTTTCCATTTTTTCTCCTTTTTCCTTCGACTGCCCCACTAGGGACTCAGGAATCGTATTGTTGGTTCTCCCCACATGTCTGGGATGACTGGGCTGTGTTTTCTCTTGCTACGGGCAGGAGGGGAAAAAAGCAGAAAGGGAGGTGCGGCCCTTTATTGAAAGCGGGTGGGTCTTTCCACTCGCATTTGTGGCCGGTGCGCCCTTGTCCGTAAGCCACGTAGCGGGGTGGGGGGATTTGCGGTTCGTGCACGCGAGAGGCTCCGTGGAATTCATGTGTGTCGGGGTACATATCTGTGGTCGGTCTACCAGCCCGAGGGCTTGCGGCCTCCGGCGTTTCACAGACGGGGATCTTTGAGGCGACCGTTGAGAAGATTATTCTGTGCTCTAAAGGCACTTCACGGCCTCTTGGGGGAATTTGCGGGGGCTGGGGGGTGGAAGCCGCATATGGCTTTTTTTACTGCTTGCTGGCCATGGATGAGATGACATTACCTGGCCGCCCCCCAAGGGCGTGGCGGCTGCCGTGCCGGCCACAGCTCGTTTGGCGGCTCGCTGCGCTGGCGTCCATCTTTGTGTGTTTAGCGGGCTGGTGGGACAGCTTGGGCAACAAAATGGTGGGTTCCCTGTTTTGTCGTCAGGGACGCATATACGAACAACAGGGGACTTGTTTGTTTGTTTGTTGTGTGGAGAATTCTTTTTATGGTTCACGTTTAGGCTGTGCATTTCTCCATTTCGCGATCGCTGCTCCCTCTCGCTCTCTCTCGTGCCCCTATTTCACCAGATTTGTTTTGCTTAAAGCTATGAACGCCAGGCAGTGGTTGGAGAAGCTGGTGGCCTTTGACACCACCAGCCGCAACTCGAACCTCGAGCTCATCCACTACTGCAGGAACTACCTGGAGGGGCTCGGCGTCAAGTGCACGCTTGTGCACAACCGCGAGAGGACGAAAGCGAACCTGTGGGCGACGCTGCCGGGCGACGGCGGCGTGACCGACGGCGGCATCATTTTCTCCGGCCACACCGACGTGGTGCCGGTGGACGGGCAGAAGTGGGACAGCGACCCGTTCACGCTGACGGAGAGGGACGGGAAGTTGTACGGGCGCGGGACTTGCGACATGAAGGGCTTCGTCGCCGTCTGCATGGCGCTCACCCCCGAGCTGCTGAAGATGAAGCGGGCGAAGCCGATCCATTTGCGTGGACGTACGACGAGGAG